AGGGAGATCTTATCATTTTATAGCCTCTTTCTTCCGGTTCGTTGAAATTGTTAGATTGAAACATCGCTTTAAAACATGGCATAGATTCGGATTCCTCTTCAATAGGTGATAAGCTACGAGCTTCTTCAAAATTTTTCTCGCTTCTGTGCACATTTCCCATACTACTTTTTATACATTTGTCGACATCTACATACATATATAAAATCAAGAGATTTGAAAATTTGATATGTATATTTCTCAAAAAGTATCTTTACACTTAACACACATATTAACTGCTTTATTATAATATTCCATTAATGTTTTCATAAACAAATTAATTTTATGTTACATGTATGAATTGTAATTAATTGTAATTATATGCATTAGAGAAAAGTGATGTTAAAATGTGTGTTAAAATGTGATATTAACTATTTTATATTTTCGTCCTCCTAAAAATCATATATTTTCAAGAAAGAGCAACTAACTCTTAACTGCTGTCATTGTTGCCTTCAAAAGATCGTTTTCTCCTATATTTGACAGCAGAAATTCTCTCTCGTTCTCTTGACTTTCCTCGGTTTATTCACACTGTGTTCACACATCAAGATGGTGAACGGGGAAGAGGAATCCACCTTTTTCCTTCAGCGTCCTTTGGATTGCTCAATCGCGAGAAATAGAAAAAAAACAGAGTAGGTACGGTACAACGGTAGACGGAACAAGAACGAGTTTAATGGCACTGTAACTCCGGTAGCGGACAATTTTCAATTTCGCTGACTCGCGCGGAAGTAGCTTTCCCACCTCCGTGGCGGAATGGAGACGTCGTTTACGAGTCACGGGGCACTTGGCACCGCCGGATTTGACATGGACAGCTGGTCGCATTGGACACGTTAGAAGCACCGTACGGGAAAGGAGCGGATTTCCCCGCACAAAGTTGCGAAGCTGTCTTAACCCTTTCACTGCTTAACCCCGAACGACATCCGTCTGTCTGTCGGGAATGCGAATATAAATTGCAATCTCATCTGATAAAAGTAATCTGCAAGCTTTAGCGTATCTAATTTATTACGCGAGTCCCTTTTAAGTATTATTAACAGTTCAAAAGAATTTTGTTCGAGTAATACAAATGTGATTTTTACTCTCAACAACATGCAATCAAATCTTCATTATTTTATTTTATACATAAGATAATTTATATATAATTATATATGTTTTAGAAATTTATTATACATAGGTGTAACCAAAAGATGTCACAGAATTCTTACTTTCTTTCTTTACACGCTGAGCCTGGCTGTTGCATCTTAAAGATCTTCAATATTTAATCATGAAATCGTAATGCACACACATACTTATTAGAAATGAATAATAAGTATTTAATATAAAAATAATACATATAGATTCCGCAGCAGCTGTCGAAAATGTCTACATCTAGGTTATTTAATCACCGATTCTTGCGATGTTCGTTCCGCACATACGGGAACGTAATAAACCATGAAGGGTTATTTAAAATTGTAAAAATTAAAAGAAAAGAACGAATCAATTTCGGAGATGACGACGCAAGTCTTTTTGCCTGATTCTGCGGAAACGGAAACGAAATCGTAAGATCGGCCACGTGAGAATGTCAAGTACGGCAGGTGCGAGAGAGAAGAGAGTAACGAAAGCGCTCTTGCACACAAGAGGTGAAAGAATGAACGCAAGAACAGTAAGGAGCGATAGAGGAGTCGCACGGTGCAGTATGGGCATAGCGGTCCTAGCGGTAGATAGTCTCAGATAACGTGCTCATTTGCATATGTAGACGCATAAATAAAGAGCATAAATGCAGCGTGCATTGCAGTGCACTCGTCCTGCGTGAGGACACGTAGCCTGTGTAAATAAACCCATGACGGGTCGATTTTCTTGGGTCGAAATTTATTATGAATAATTAACAGATGTAATATGACATTCCGATAATTTTATAATAATATATAATAAATAGAAAAAAATTAAAATATATAATGTAGAATTTTTTGCATCAATTATATGAGTATATAAATTTCTTGATACGAGACAATTTTTTTTTATTGTAAAACTACTTAAAGTTTACTCGTTCGTTTAGTTCGATAAATTGGATTTAAAAATTTCCAACAATTACCGGAAATAATTTAAATGTATTTTAACTCATTCGACATAACTGATTAGATACTTAATACTCCTATAGGCAAAATTCTATGCAAATGAAAGAGATGGAAGCGGTTTGCCATTGTTTTATCAGCTCGGTGAAGAATGCCGATAACGGGGATCGTGGGACTGCTCGTTTAGCAATTGCGAGAAAATCCGTGGAAGCAGAGAATTAACGAGCATCACGCTACGCGATTGTATTTATTGCCGTTATTCAATTGTAAAACGAGGCGATCAAAACAATTATCTTGAGTTAAATGATCTACGAACGAACATATGCTGTGCTCGCTCGCCAAAAGAATTTAATTAAATTTTAATCGTGTCATACTTAGTTTCTTTTTTTTTCCTAGGAAATAAAAAATATATGGATACTTTTGTGCACTAACAAGATACTCAACTGATAACATTCTAATATTAATTTTTATATCATTTTTTTTTATTATAATTCACATTTTATATATTAAATATAAATACATATATATATATATATATATATATATATATATATATTATTATTATTATTATATAATATATGTAAAATGAAAATATTTCAGTTCTCTATATTATTGCGAAATCAAATTATTTCAATAAGATAAGATCTCTGAACATGTAATGAATTAGTAATTAAGTGACCTTACTGAAATGATTCACTTTCAAGTTCACCTGCTAAGGAACATGAGACAACGGCATCCTGTTATTGCGCTGCACACAATAAGGAATATGAAATGCTGAAAGTGACTCATCCACTCCTTTCGGAGGGACTTTACTCTGGAATAGATTGGCTTTGACGGTGGCGGAGCCGCTTGACTAACTTTTCACCGATCTCCAGCGGCATGTCATTAGAGAAAAACACGTCTGCAATTAAAAACAAAAAGTAGTCTGCAATTAGCCCGCCGAGCGCCTACGTCCGGTAGCTCTTCTGCGCTGGCAACCGTCCTTAATTAATTTTGCGGATTTGTATTTGCCACCTATATAGAAAAAAAGTCACCGTAACGGGCGAACTTAGATCGATCGAAGGTTGATGCCGACTTCCCAACCTTTAACCGATCTGTTCTTTAAGCATTCGAGATATTACTCAGAAATAATTGTATTTTCAACGTTACCGCAATCGCCTCTTTCTTAGATTTTTATATCAAGAAACTGAATAAAATACATATTCGACGAATATTCACGGAATCCGCTGAACATTGTATCTCACTATTATTTTTTGTTTTTTTTCATTCGGAAAATAGATAGCGGATATATATAACGGTGACGATAACGATGATATTAACGATAGACTTAACTTTATTTATGCGGTCGCGCGATGCCGAGTGGGGATGCAACGATAAATGAGATGATAAACGGTTCGAGAAAGAGCCTCTTTCTCTCACTCTCTCCCTCTTTTTCATTCTAAACTTTTGAAGAACGCCGCGGTGGAAAAGCAACGGAAGCCGCGCGGATAACCCAAGAGTGTTCGCGGGATGAGTTAACAGTATCATACCGATGCGATCCCGATGCGACTATCTTGCCGCAATGGTACCCACGGCGAGGTGGAACGATCGAGCGAATAGCGGCCGTGAAATCGCGATACGAGACGATACTTCGTGTCCGTATAGAATGATTAGAGGGCGAAGAGAAGTGATTCTCACGCGACTCGCTTGATTAACAGCCTATTCTTGCCAGCTTTCTTTGCATGATTATTTATTTATTTTTTTGCATCGAGAGAGGCACGGACGCATCCAGGAAAAAATGAGGCCCAGTGTCCCTTCATTTCAATAATTAATGGTAACAATTTAATTTGAAAAAATGGTAGTAATTTAATCAACCAACTCTGGCAAATTAAGTGATCTTTATTTAATATTCACGACGTTTCGGCCCTTATCAAGTGCTAAAACATAACTTTTTTTATAAAAAACTTAATTTTTGATCTTAGAATGTGACAAGATCTAATGTGAAACAATTAACTATATCTATTATAATTTAATTTGATGTAATATAATTAATAATAATTAAAGTTAAAGAAGATTTCGAAATATTTTACTCTCAGTTATATAATAGAACGGATGATGATAATTAGAATATGAGAAAAAGACTCTCTTTCTTTTCATTATATTTCATGCAAAATATAACTTGTATGCTTATGCTAATAAATTGCATTGAAACTTGTATGAAAACCTTATAGGAGAAAATCTCTCCAAAGGAATATCCTCTTACAATACCTTCGATCATGCAACTAACTAACAATAAGACGTGGTCGGGAATGATATCCTTGTTAAATGAAGTCGTTGATGAAGTTGTTGAAGATGCAGATCGTTGTTGGGATATCAACGCATACCTGTGCAAGTACTACGTGCCGGCTTTTAATGCAGACATTGGGTCGTTCCGACGGATGTTCATGCCCATGGATGGGACGAATGGAAGAAATGCAGACACGTCTTTTTCACTTACAGATACTTGTGTGTGTGTGTAGATCCCTTCCGCAATTTATGCGGAATGCAGTCTCAGGCGCCGCGCCGTTGCTCGGAGCCCTTATATCGTACAATGAAATGCTGTAGGAAGTTTAAACTGTCGGCACTTTAAACTGTATCTCGCGCGCGCTGTTAATGAAATACTACGTGATTTCATTAACAGTTAAACGTGCAATTTAATTGCGTAACCTTGCACATTTAACTGTTAGCTCTCTAATCGCCGCGCGCGAACACACCGCTAATATTTTCCATTTAATTTTCACATGTTAATCGCATCGAAATACCTGTATTACGATAAAGATTATAGAATAATTCCACACTTTGTAACAGTTGTTATATTTGCGATTCAAATGTCGTTCAGGTTACAATCGTAGAAATTACTGTTTTATTCTAGTGGGATAATAAAATAATAGACGTGGTAAATGTAATAAAAAAGATACACAGCTGCAGCGCGTATATTCCCACTTGTATACATATATTTACCTAAGAATAATAGTTTTTATAAATTGTACCACAATTTCTCATCACGCTTTCTCTTTCTTCAATCGCATACAAGTAAAAAAACGCGAGCAATTCACAAATCCTATAAACGCTAATTTATTATGATAATTCTTGAAAATCACCTATTCTATTATGTGATTATGTGTATATATAATGTAAGTTAAATACCAGAAAATAGAGTTATACAATTGCGCAAGGCACAGTTTCTTTTAGATAATATTCACACATTTATATGTCTAAAAATAATGAAAACACTGCCGCAGAGTTATTAATTAACAATTGGCATGTTAACGTATTTTAATTCATACCTTATTCGCACGTTTCTCCCGATTATCTTCTTGGATGAAGATTTACGTATGTCGCGATATATTTTTGATTACACTGCTCGACGATGGCAATATACGGAGATGACGAGGTCCTGAGATCTGAGCGATAAAGCTGCGTCCATACGAGGAGAGGCGGGATAGAGAAGAACGAGCATGTGGGTGAAGGCTGGAGGGCTCTCCAGGATGTGTCGAAAGTGAAACTCAAGGCCTCGTGTAGTCTTTCGTTGTGTATATGCATGTATATGCATGACCATTGTCCGCCCTCATACGGGCTCGATCATGGTTCACGATAAGCTTCGATCTAGGTCCTTGGAGGCTCTGCTCGACGATCGTAGATGCTCGGAAACGTTATTAAAGAAGTGACCGTAGAATAGAGTGCGAAATCTGAGCAGAGCCCGTCGATGCGCTCGTTTCTTTATGCCTCCTTGTCATATCCTCTGCCTCCGATTACTCTCTTTGATCTCGTAATAATCAGCAAAGCAACGATCTTTACACCGCGTGCTTGCGCGTGCTCGGCAAGAAACACATAAGAAGCATGCATACTAAAATATTAAGATATATATATTTTTTTTAATAATAAATTATTAATGCATACGAATTGAAACGTGTGCAAGTAATAATGAATTTTTTCTTTTAGGAACCAATTAATGTTGACAATTCTGTTTTGATTATTGTGAAATTATTCGACATCGCGAATGTTTTATATCATATTTCGGATTTTATTTTTTAATGAGAAGAATACTTACGTAAATTGAAACATATCAGACTAATAATCGGTGTTATGCAGCTGTATTCAAGTAAGATTGGAAAGATAAGATTGCCGAGCATGGCTCCTATTCTTCCTATTATCATTTGCATGCTTACTGCCATGGCTCTGACAAATAAATATAAAAGTAAGCACATATGGTATTAATAATCTATTTTCCTTTTTTTAAAATTTTATATACGTAAATAAATTGAAATGACAAACCTTAAAGTTGTGGGAAAAAGCAAAACACTCGCACCAACCGTAATGTTAAAAGCTTTGCTGAATAATCCAATATACAAACACGTAAGGATAAGAGTGGTTAATGTATTTGTAGACCAGATTAAGGCTATGGAACACAAAAGCGCGCATCCATAGCTGACGACTATATCAAAACATATTTTTAAAAATTAATACAAAGTCTATTTCCTCTCTTTTCTCTCTCTTTCTCTTTTTTTTAAATAATAAAATAATTATGTAAATAGAAAACAACTTACGTGAAAGATATTTATGTTGAAGATAATTAACGAAGATGCTGGCACACAATATACAAGTACTAGAAGTAGCTGATACAATAATAGTGTCGATGTATACTGAATCTGATACAACAATCTGTAAAAATCAATTTATTCAGAGAATATCACAGTAAAATAAAAAAATGTAAAAAGATAAATATTTTTTATATATAAGTATGACTTTTTTGTACGTATATTAAATGTACATCTAATATCTTACATTCTCACAATTTGACATTTCTTTCAATGGAGCAGTTTTATTTGCGAGAGATGTCGAAATATCCAGCATTTCGCAAAAAGTAGGATTAGTAATGTTAGTATCAAGATTCTTAAAATTCTCTAATGTTGCAAAGAGTTGTGGTTGCCAGAGACGAAGGGTGTTTAAACTATAAATATAACGAATAGAAAATATTAATACAAGTTAAAATATTAATACAAATATCTTACAATAAAATTAAATAAGTTGTTTTAAATAATTGCTATTTATTAAATTTATTATTTTTGAAATAAATATTTAAGTGTATAAATATGAAACAAGATAGAAAATATAATTCATTATTTAAATAAATCATTTATGAATAATATTTATCTCTTGCATATTTTAATTGTATTAATTGCATATCAGCCTTTGAATCATTATTTAAATGAAAAGGTAACAAAATTCTATACATGTACGTATACGTTGTATGCGTAGACATAAAATTAGTTTTATATATTATCGAAAATTGTATTGCTTAGCTTGTGAATCGTTTCATTTTTATCGTTATCAAAATCTACGTCATTGGAAAATTTTCACCAAGTTCGATAATGCTCTTTGCGAGAGAATATGAAACATGATGTTTAATTTAATTGTAAATTGTACAATTAATCCGACAAACAGTGTCGTTTTATATGTGCCATTAGTCTGATATCCTTTAATTTAGTAGAAGATTTTAGTAGACGTCTCTAAAGCGAGGACGATGTGTGTATTGAGTTTTATTTTCGTCTCCTCGGCTGATACCTTTAATTTAGTAGAAGAATTAAGAGAACACGTGATACACGCAAGGTATATGAGGAATTCAGAGCGATATGTATCCAGATAATGAAAATATATCTCAACGAAACATGTAGAAGCAAATGTATTTTACTTCTGCTGATAAGATCATAAATTATCAAATCTGTCATTCAATCATCAGCGCGGTACTTGTACGACTAACCGGGGTTTTAAATTTTTACGACGAATGACGTGTCTTAATTGTATCTCGTAAAAAGCATCGTGCGATTCTACACGAGTATGACGCGTACATATAACACTACTTTCATTATACTGATAACTTTGATTTATGACATTTGTGACAATTACCTCGCGGTGATTCGCAATTATTATTGCTACTATAATAAGGAAAATTGGCCCGACAATGTTATTCATGATTGTTGTGATATTCTGCCTAATAGTTGAATAAATAAATAAATTTGCATTATACTACATTTTATAGACGTATATACAAATTTATGTAAAAAAAAAGAAATATATATGTATATAGATAAAACTAACTCACCATAACATTCCGCAGAATTGTATAGTAACAAATAATAAGATGCGTGGCAGATTTGGATTCAAGAACATAGGCTTCATCTGCTGAATTCCGTCTTTTAAGCGTTTCGTTTTATTTTGAGATTTCGATGAAAGCGATCGCTGTATAGTATTGTTAAAATTTACATCTCCCAAGGCACGTATCTAATAATGAAAAATGTACAGAAATATTTGCATTCCTTTCTGTTAATGTTATCTGAACAATTTTTTTATACAAGTTGGTTTTATATTATAATTATTATTATATGTATATTATTATAATATGTATAGTATATGTATATACTTACAGGATAATTATCTTTAGGCTGACCAGTGTTTATATGGTAGATTTTTTTAAAGACCTCAAGTGCATCTTTATTACGATCTTGTGACATTAAAAACTTGGGACTCTCCGGAAAGAAACAGAGACAAATGGTGCCTATTAGCGTTGGTAGTCCACAAATAGATAGATACATTCTCCAAGAATTGTACACAAAGGCACCGTCCCAAAAAACAATTGACCATGGCTGAGGAATCACTAGCCAGGCCAATGCTAGCCACAAATCCATACAATAAAAATGTTAGTTTTATGAGAAAGTATATTTATATTAGATAGATTATTGATTGATACCATTGTTTGACATAAAAATTAACCAGAACGGGATTAGTCGTTTCTTATAGATTTTTGAATGCTAAATACGAATCTAGTTTCCATCACATCACAATGTTGAGAAATTTTTTATTAAAATTGCAAAAAAGGCATTTTCACAAATTTTGTCATATTCTTGCTACAATGTGACGTACTAAAGAAGATTCATTACAATCAAAATAAAAAATATTCTTAGGACTTTCACCCTCAAAAGAATTTTTAGTGTTGGTTATGGTCAATAAGATATTCATGATTAAATGAATGTATTGCGGAAGTTATTGCGTGAAAATAATTCTTTTTTGCAATTTTAATTTCAAATTTCTCTAAATTGTGATGGAGCAATTTGGAAAAACCGGATTCGTATTCAACATTCAAAACATTTAACGTAAGAAACGATTAGTCTCGTTCCGGTGTTTGAAAAGAAATCATTTTTTGTTGAACAGTGTAATCGATTGTATAATTTATTTTCCATAGTAAAAGCATTTTTACCTGCATTAACTATACATCCGAACGAAACTGAGAAGCCCACAAGAAGCGGAATTTTCGCTCTATCTTTAGCGCCATAAAATTCCGAGCAATATGCCACAAGAGTGGCATGCGGTCCACTTACACTAAATGAAAAATAATAAACCGGTCATTAACTTTTAGTCGTTGATTCTTAAAGTAATTGGACATAAGAAACATAAGAAGTATAAATTCAAATTAAGATTGATTCATTCGTTGCTTTTCTTCGAATAACTTTAATCCAATTAATATAGTATAGCATGATATTTTTCTCACAGAGCGCCACTGAGAAATTTGAAAAACACAAGCGTCTCATAATTCTGGGAGAAACCTGCGAGTATACTACAGATACCATCCGCCATATAGCCGTATAATATAACCTTTTTTCTTCCTTTAACGTCAGCAAGGTATCCCCATATAAAACCACTTAACACCATACCTGTGACATTTTGCGTATAAGTAATGATAGATAATTTTTACTCTATTTCATCTATTTTATTTTATATTTTATATCATTTTATAATACAATTCCATCATACCATTTAATATAGTTTGAGATGTATCGATAATAATTAAAAAAAATAATTTAAAACGTCATATTGCCACTCACCCACGTAGACAATAGCATTTAAAAGCCCTTTGTCAAATAATGTTAATCCTAAATCGCACTCCGCCGACGCAAGTATCATCGACATATTAGATGTATCTATACTAGATCCCCACGAAATCGGGATAATCCCGATAATAAGAAGATACTGAAATTTCCCGGTTCCAGTAGCGGTAATCGCTGTTTCAAAATCCGTGATTTTCGTATCTGACACATCTTCGATCGCAACTGCAAATATATAGTTCTAAAAAATTGCTACTATATACATATATTCGCGCACGTTTCAAATACATTTAATAAAAAAAATCAACACAAAAACTCATAATTGAAATTAAAAATTTCTCTTAGTATCACTAAAGTAAAATCTACTTTTATTTGACAAATATTAATTATGTACTTACTCGAATCTCGTTGTTGAATTTTTTTCTTCTCTGTCACTTCAATATTAGATATCGTGTTGTCCGACATTGTGTAATATCTATTTCACGTGATATTATTAAAAACTGATTAACAACACATTATTCACGATCGATTGAAACAATTGTCCGAATTTTCGATACGCACACGTCAAAACGGGAGCGCGTTCTGCTTCTGTCGTGTAAAAGCAGTATTCTACTTCTTCGTTTATGAATTGTGTCACTGACAAATATACGTTATACGGCCACAAATTGGTAAAATTAAATCTAAAAATACGTCCGTACTCGTCCAAGGACGGAGAACTAAGAGCAGAATTCGATAGCAGTGATAATAGTTATATGCAGTGTGCATAGGTGATACAGAAAGATCTCTGATAGGTAACCGACGAAATCATTTCGGTTTTAAAAACATTTCCTTCCCGTCATCTTGCTGAGTTCATCCCATTTGACTTCTTACAAACGTTTTTATCACTTAAGTCTTAAGTAAACAAGTATTCTCAACCCGTTGATTTACTATGGATCACGCGGACAATTTCGGCAACAATCTTATAATCTTACAATCAATATCTCTGCATATACATATTTCTAATTTACATTTAATTGGTTTGATTTTTATCAATATGTATAAATTTTAATTGTAATTTACTAATTGTAATTTAATTGTAATTTACTAAAATATAATAAAACAAGAGGAAGAGTATGTGTGCATTAATCTCTGTCAAATAAATAGACTAATATAAACAATGTTTTTCAATATTATTAAATTAACATTAATATAAAATATAAAATAATTAAAATAATAGTGTTTGAGATGTGATGTGTAATTGAGATTGATTTGAGATTGATTTTGTCATTGGAAAAATAATTGAAAATAATTAAAAGATTAACAATTTGACAGTTATAAAATAAAAACAATAAAAAAAACAAATGTAATAAATTAAATAACTACAATTGAAACACTTGTACAAAAAGAACATCATGCACGACATGAAATAAAGTTTATTGAGAATATTTGTTACAAATTAGATACATAGCGCACATAAATTATTATTAATATTCTTATACCCGATTCGTCTTTTAATAATCTTGAGAAGATTTTATTAAATCGAATTGATCATGTAAAATATAAAATTATTTAATACACTATCTTTACTATAAATAATTCAAAAACAAATACGTATTAAGCGACGCGTTAAAAACAAACAAAAATATTATATTTGTTCAAAAAAAAAATATCTTTGTTAATACAATACTTTTAAAGAACTAATTTTACAGAATCAATAATAAATTTATGTTTTATAATAAATAATGTTTTATAACAAAAGCAAAAGTATTATAAGTATAAATAATTTAAAACAGCTGCCTGATAAGTGATTATATAGTATAATCCCGTACCGATAATTCCACCGTTTAGGAAATGATTAAAAAAAAATTTATAATCACATATATTACAATAGCTACAAATGTTAGAAACTTTCAAATTTTCGAAGACTATTTTTTATTCAACAAAGATTCTTTCTGTCAAAATATGATTAGCATAAACAATTGAGTTAATAAAACCAACAATTATACCGATTATATTAATCAAATATTATATAATAATATAGACTTGTAATTATATAAAGACAAAAATCTAATATTTGTTTAAATATTATTAATACAATACATTTAAAAAATTGTTCTTGCAGAATCAATAATCAATTTATATTTATATAATAATTTGGCATGTCCCGCGTCGTATTAATTAACACAACGAAAATTATTTATTATTATATTATGTGTACCTACTTTTGAATATTTCTTTCATAAAATACGAAAATTTATATTTTTTGAAAATGTCAAAATTTCTATTTATTTTTTCTTTATTAAAAATAATTAGAAATAATTAGAAAAATTATAATAATGATAAGATAAAATCTTACAAAATTCATACATGAATATGATGTTAATAAATTAAACTATTTAAATGTCATGCTACTTTGTTAGATGAAAAAGCAGCGTTAAAAAAAAGAACCGTTAAACAGCGTAATAATAACTCTCAATGTTCGAGATTTTTGTTAAGTTATAATTCAAAGTTATTATTCAAAGAATGCAATAGTTCTTTGCATATTGTTTTTTTATTGTTAACAAGCAGAGAGCGTACGAACTAGATTCTTCGAGTTTATGACTTTGGTTTTCTGTAATTCGTAGACTCATAATTTTCACGAATGCAAGATAAAAGATTTACAATTTAAGTACTTCTCGAGGCTTTGCTAAAAAGCAACTTTTCAAGAAATTTCCGGAAATCTTTGTTATATCAGAGATTGTTATTTTTTCTCCTGTAACATTTTAAAAAATGTTATTTTTCTAAATTATTATTTAGAAAAATAATGTTAATTATTTATTTTGTGAAAATTCATAAATAATTAAGAATTCTGACTATTTACTCTAGACTGTGTAGTGCGCTCGAAAATATGTTCACCTAAAGTCAATTGGGCTTCGACCAATCGGAGCCCGAGGATCTCTATTCTGATTGGCCGGGCGAGCTTCATCCTAGTCAAGAATAGAGTTGCGGATACAATCTAGGTTGCTAACCACTGGTTCGCCGCGCCACCGCGCATGCGCACGCATCCCCACCACTCCGACTTGCTTCTTCCCGACTGTGCTTCTTCCTGCAGCAAAGCTTCGGTTTGGGACTGATGCTTGCGTGTTTTTTGCCGGTCCGGTCCGCGACAGTATACGAGTGCGAATGTTAACAGTGTCGAGTATCTTTATATGGTTAATCGTCGCATAAGTCCGATCGCGCATCTCTGGTCGTATTTCCGTGCCGTCGTGTCGAAGGTCGTTGGGCGCCATGAAAAGCTCGTAATCAAGTACGTCGCGACGCGCCGCCATGTTGCTCGGCATCGTACGTTGGGCCTCTGCCGTGAACCGTCGAGTCGGAACTACTCGGCAAAGAGCGAGAAATACATATATTCATTGTTCATTATCGAAATACGCGACAACCGCGAGTGTATATAGTGCTCGAGAAATTCTCCTTTCGCCGGATTCTCGAACGCATTCGCGTGTCAAAGACATTCGCGTAGAATCGATTTCACATGTAGTTATCGCATCTTCGTCGTTGTGAGTGGACGTGAAGTGCCCAAATCTGGAACAGCGAGTGTAATAAGTGAGAGTGCTCGAGAAATTCTCGCCGCCGTTTCCGCTGAAGTGGTGTCGCGGCGCGCGGTGTGTGTGCAAGGTGGACATCGCATCGGTTTTAGCTTCTCGATATTTACGGCGACATTTCGACGCATTTCCGGAAAATTAGTTTTATGGAATTAAGATTTTTATTTCTTCGTCGTCAAATAGTGAGTGGAAAAATATAAAGTGCCCAATCTGGAATAAGTGAGATATAAAATATATAATAAAGGCAGTGGCCAATTTTGGAATATCAGCGAAAATTTAGTGAAGTGCCCATCTGGAATAAGTGAGATATAAAAATATAAAGTGCAGTGGCCAATTTTGGAATATCAGCGAAAATTTAGTGAAGTGCCCAAATCTGGAATAAGTGAGATATAAAATATAATAAAGTGCAGTGGCCAATTTTGGAATATTAGTGACCCTAGTGTGTCGCGAGGGAATTACTGTCGTTGTTTGATGAGACGATAGGTGTTTTAAGTGGCGACGCGAAAATGGAGCATCGTGCGCGAATAAGCTCTCGCGATTCTCTTTCCCGAAAATGTGATAAATCGCCGCTCGTCGCGATCGAAAAAAACAAGTAGCGCGAGTGCAAGTGTTTCGAAGTTTCTTCTGAGAGAGGAGTTGGCAACGGCAAAGGTACTACATGGTAAATAATTTATTTTTTATTATTACATTTTTACTGTTAAACTCGGTGTAAGCTGTTCCACTTGCGTGTGTCGTCGTGTCATAAACAATTGCTTTAATAAGAACTAAAGATCGAATGCCATTCATTTACAATATAAAATTTTAAAATAATTATGTAAAAAATTCCTAAAAGTTTTAATTCTCAACAATGAGTTTGTAGTTGTGTTAGTAAGTAATTTTCATTTTGTTTGTAGTTGTACAATTTTAAATTTGCAAATGATATTTCAATAAAGAATAAGATATTTCAAATTGATATGCTCAGTATTATTTAGAATCGTTTGCTGTTGTTTGGAACATTTGCAATTGAAATTCACATCGCTAAATAAAGCAGAATTTGAAAATTCTAAAATTTGAGGAAAAATCATCTGTCAACATTATTTTTAAACTATTGTATTTTCTAAACCATACAAATACAAGCAAAACGAAAAATTTGCATTTGTTTAAAAAGATGGTCAATAGTCAAATTTGTCAATCATGAAGTTTTCTCAAATCTTCCTTTTCCATGTGATTCCGACTCGTTTGTAATGTTTGAAACACCAATCGAATTTATATTCAAAATAACAGATTTAAAAATCTTTAAATTTGACGAATATCATTTAGACAGTATTTTTAAACTATTGTAATTTTAAACTGTGCAACTAAAGCAAAACGAAAATCACTTTAACAACTGTAAACGATTCTTATAAAACTGCGTATTAGATTTGCGTTATTTTCAATTTAGGGTCATAATTTTAAACTATTGATTTTTCAATTGACAACGCGCACGATCCAATACTATCATCTTCCGTATTAAAAATTAATTCTTTAAAGTCAGGTACCAATTCATTAATATTATAAAAACACGATTTTTGCAATTCACAAATTTTTAAACGAAGATAGATCGACGTCGATGTTGAAGCGAAAAATTTTTAAAGTGACAGACTAAGATATTTGAAATTGATATGCTCAGTATGTTTAGAATCGTTTCTTGTTGTTCGGAACATTTGCCTTGAAATTACATCGCTAAATAAAGCAGAATTTGAAAATAAAATTTGAAAAAATTCATGTTTGACAGTTTTGTTTAAACTGCTGTATTTTTTAAAGTGTGCGACTACAAGCGAAACGAAATTCACTTCACACAACTATAAACGATTCTTAATAAGACTGCTGATTTGGATTTGCGTTATTTTCAATTTGGGGAAAAACTTGAACTTTTGATTTTTCACTGACGACGCGAGCGATCGACGTACTATCATTTTCGGTATTAAAAAAATTAATTCCTTATAGTCAGCTGTCGATTCACATTAATATATATTAAAAACACATTTTCAAGTGCGTTCAAAGTCTTTAAGCGAAGATAGATCGATTTCGATGTGCAAGCGAAAAATTTAAAAAGTGACAAGATTTAAGATATGTGAAATATACATGTTCAGTCGTGTTTAGAATCGTTTCTTGTGGTTCGGGACATTCGCCTTCGAATGTTACATCGATGTAGAAAGCAGAATTTAAAAATCTTGGAATTTGAAAAAATTCATTTTCGACAGTTTTGTTTAAACTGCTGTAATTTT